GGCCCCGATCCGCGGTTGGGAGGGTCGCCTTGTGCAAGAGCCGAGACGCCCCGCCGGGTCTTGACGGAGACCCCGCTCGCCGGAAAGCCCCAGGGAGAGCATGCAAGGGGGGGGGGTTCTATCTACAGCCCCCCCCCAAAAAAGAACACACACACACACACACACAATTTCTGGAGCCCAAGGAGGTGTTATAGCCCGATGAATCTGCAGGTGAGGGAGGGGCTTGGAAAGGTTCCCTTGTTGGACTACAACTCCCAGAAAACACACCAGCTCGCCGTGAGGTTGGAACTGTTGTTGTTGTGGGGGGGGGGGCGCTCTCAGCCCTGCAGTTATTACAGGTGAAAACCAAAGAGAAACCAGAAAGTGAAAAAGAGACCAAAACGGGGGGGGGGGGCACCTTAAAAGGCGGGCTTTTTCTAGTCGGATTGCCTAAAAAAAGCTTCCCCAGAAAGTGAAGGCTGGAGGAAGGGCGACGGAGGGGGGGGGCAGCCCCGCCATCCAAAGGGGTCCCTGCCCCACATCCTCCTTTGGAAGACTCGCCGCAGCCCTTGGGCAGGGAAGCCAAGCTCTCCATCCTGACTTGGCTTTGAGAAGGGGGGGCCCCCATCCCTCCCGTGACTTTGCACCCCTGTTGGGGAGGGGGGGTCACTGTAGAGCTTGGGAAAAGTGTGTGTTTTTTAAAAGAAAAAAATTGCAACTCACAGACACCTTCTTAAGGCCACGCTGGCTCCATTCACTTCAGGTGGGAAGAGGTCGCCGCAGCCAGCCCCCCCCCATCCCCTCCCCATCCCAAATTCGGCTGGCAGACTCCATGGACGGTCCCAGTTGCAGAAGCCAAGCACTGCGGCCAGCCTGCGTGGAGGAAGGCCCTGGCCTGGACCGTGATTTCCCCTTGTCCTTTTGCACCGAGGTTGGCTTCGCCTGTTCCCCTCGAAGGGAAGAAGGCTGGCCGGGTTCCCTCTTCCATCAGGAGGGGAACTCCGCTTCCTGGGCAGGTCCAGACAGAACCGTTCCCACCGGGCTGAGAAGGCTTTGCCTCAGCTCCAGGTTCGCCGCACCGGCTCGGCTTTGCAGGTGGAGCCTGGAGAACAGTGACCAAATTCCTCCATCATCCTGCAACGCCACTGGGTGATCTCGTGGGTCAGGTACTCAGGGCAGTTATCAGGCTAAAGAATTGGGGAAGAAAAAGCTAAACTTCTTGCAGGATTAAGCATCCTTCAGTCTCAAGAGACTCTGGTCACATGCTCTGAATAGAGGACTTGGAACAGTGTCTTGTGTGGCTGAGAAGGCCAATTCGAGAGTGACCATCCTTTCCACAATGAAGACAAATACAATCTGTACCCCGTCTGGCTCCCCGATTTTGCTGTTTTGGGATGGCCTCTTTGCCTCGGCCTGCTGGACAAGGGTCTCTTCAAATTGGGAGAGGCCGTGATGCAAAGCCTGCCTCCAGGCTGAACGCTCAGAGGTCAAGGTTTCCCATCGGTTGAGATCCATTCCTAAGGCCTTCAGATCCTGCTTGCAGATCTCCTTGTATGGCAGCTGTGGTCTCTCTCTGGGGCAATGTCCCTGCACTAATTCTCCATACAGGAGATCTTTTGGAATCCGATCATCAGCCATTCTCACAACATGCCAAAGCCAACGTAGACATCGCTGTTTCAGTAATGTATACATGCTAACAATTCCAGCTTGTTCTAGGACTGCTCTGTTTGGAACTTTGTCCTGCCAGGTGATACCAAAAATGGAACATGTTCAGCTTCTGCCGTGCACAAAAGGTCCAGGACTCACTGCAGGACAGGAGTGTGCTCAGGACACAGGCTCTATAGACCTGGGTTTGGGGTTTTCTTATTGTTGCAGTTACTTTGAAATTGTCAGATCGAAGTGATCTGTGAGATCCATAAGTGAAACCTTTTTTTACACTTTGTTTGCAACAGGCATGTGAAACTGTATCCTTAGCCCATTGTGCTTTTGGGTGGTTTGAGTTCGAAGGATTCTAGGGGGACATTTCTCATATCCCCTGGCTTTGTTGCGCAGCACCCTCCCATCCTGGTAGAACACAATGAAGCCCCTCTGATTTGGGATGCTAAGCAGGGTTTGGCTTGGTTTGCCTTTGGAGGGGAGACCCCCCCCCCAGGGAATTCCAGGAGGGGTCTTCAGGTAAGGGTTTGAGGCGTGTCCTGCCTGGGCTGCTGCCAGTCAGAACTGGCTGGAAGAACCCGAAAGTTCTGGGTCCTGGAAAGGCTGCTTTCAGCATTGCTGTGTAACAAGAACAAGCTGCATCGGTCGATTCCAATCTTCACCCTTCTGTCTCTGAGGCAGGCTCCGGAGTCCAAGAAATAACCGTATGCTGCATCCCACATCACATCGAAGCCCCTTAAATGTCACGGACTGTCAGGGGCAGCTGTTCCTTCACATCCCCTGACAATCCTCAAGCCGGCCTCCCCGGCCGATCTCTGACAAGGGGGAGCTTTTCCCTCCGGGAGAGAAGAGCGCGAGAGTCGACATCGAGCGAGGAGGGCCCGGGAAATGCCATCGAGAAGCATGAACGGAAGGAAGGAGCATGAGATGCCCTTCATTAAAGCTGTTTGGCAGCAAGACTGCCAGGGACGTCAGCCCGGATCGCCTTCGCCTTGGCTCGCCTGTGGCCGGGGATCGGACAGGGAGCAGAAGGCGCGGCAGCGGGGCCTTGGCTTCGTCCGTCGAAAAGGGGGACAGCTCCTTCCTGGTATACTTGTGCCCACCTCTGGGGCAGTGGCAGACACATGTGTAGTGTGCGTGCACATGCATGCATGCACACATGCACTTGTGCCTTCACCAGGCAGTTTTGCACGGCAGCTGCGTAGGGGCTGCCAGGCCCCGGTCTTAGTGGCAGGCATTCCGGTTTGCCCCCCTGCAAGAGTGGATGCTGGGAAAGGACAGTAGTTTTGCCTTTCTGCTCCCTTCTGTCCCACGGGGGGGGGGGGGGGGAGAGGAGCCTCCAAACCCGTGGGAGGGATGCAAGAGAGATTCACGGTGTCCAAGAAGGACCTTGCCCTGAATGGGATTCAAGTGGGTTTTCGATGTTATTTTACTACATGCACACAAACACACACACACACTCTTCAGGGAGTGGAAGGAACCGTGTGTGAGTCTCTCCCTGTCCATTTCCTCTTGGCAGCCACCTTCTGGGGCAGACTGGGACGACTCCAGGGGACCCGAAGCATTTTGTGGCTCAGCGGGGATTTGAAACCAAGATTTCTCTCTCTCCCCCCCCCCCAAAGCCCTGGCCTGACACGTGCTCCTTGCTCACACAATTCCTGAGACTCCGAGGACTGCATCCCCCCCCTTCTGCCTGCGAAAGCTGTGATCTGTTGCTCAGGAAGACACACACAACCCCTCGATCTCTGGGGGCGCATGCAGGGTGTGGCCTCCTGGGCCCCGAGATGGCCAGCCCCGGCCGGGACATCCCCACAGCCCTACTGAGACAGTCCAGGTGGTGGACATGGGAGGGGGGGGAGCCCTGCTTTCCCCCCCTCCCTACCTCCATGGCCTAACAAGGCTTCTTGGGTTGTGCCCCAGGGGGGAGGGAGGCAGTCATTACCAGCCTGACTCCTGTCATTCCCAGGTTCTCCTGGTTTTAATGAATTGCTTTCCATGGGCCTTCCTGATTCATTTAGCCATTGGGTTTCCTGCATTGCTGAGAACCCCTTTGACCTTTTTTAAAATGCAAAAATGGTATAAGATGCACGTATAAGCCCAGCCCTGGTGGGCCGCCTTGTAGAGTTGGGTGGCTGGCAGCTGTCCTTGATCCTTAACTGTCGTGTGAATGGCTTCTGTGCTGCTTCCAGACTGCACACTCTTCTTTTAAAACCCGGATCCCTGCACCTACATTGCACCATCCCCAAAACCATCACCCGCCACTGTCTTCCAGTTTTGGGACCTATCATAAACAGGATCAGGCCTGGTTAATAACTGAATGAGAGGCCACCAGGGAATACCAGAGGTGTTCAGGCAAGTCTGGTTTGGGGGGGGGGGGGGAGGGACTTGACTGAATGTCTGGAGAGCCATTGCTGCCAGTCAGAGCTGGCAATATGGTGCCGATCGTCTTATCTGGATAAAGCAGCTCCCCCCCGTTCTGACGAGTGAGCGGGATCTCCTCCTTCCATACCAGCCTTACCTGTATGCTGAGAGATCTGTGTTGGAGGCTCCC